TTTATTTATTTATTTATTTGACAGAGAGAGAGAGAACAAGCAGGGAGAGTGGCAGGCAGAGGGAGAGGGAAAAGCAGGCTTCTCGCGGAGCAGGGAGCCCAATGTGGGGCTCGATCCCAGGACCCTGGGATCGTGACTTGAGCCCAAGGCAGATGCTTAACCGACTGAGCCACCTAGGTGCCCCTCTGCTACATTTTTTTATGAAGCTGTCCAGGGAACAGAGGCAAACCTCTGACATTGAGGACCCAAGTTTGAAAAAATGCCCTTGTGAAGAAAAGTCCATCTTGAAGCCCACACTGGTTCTGGAAAGCCCCATGGGTCTCTTTCAGGACATATTCAAGATACAGCCCTTGTATCTCTGATAGCTTCTTAGGGGAGCAGGAAATTCACCTGCTGTGAATGCAGCCAGGCTAGGTGGGTCAGGGAGGCCAGACCTCCTGAAGAGACAGACTTGCTGGCTCTTTCAGGGAGAAATGGCCACAGGTAGGGGTGCCTGGGTGGCTCATTTGGTTGAGTGTCCAATTCTTGGTTTCAGCTGCGGTCATGGTCTCAGTGTCATGGAATGGAACCCCCTGATTTGGGCTCCAAGCTTGGCATGGAGTCTGCCTGAGATTCTTTCCCCCTTCCCCTCTCTCCTCCTCTGCTCCTCCCCACACTTGCTGTCTCTAAAATAAATAAATGGAAGGAAGGAAGGAAGGAAGGAGAAAGAATTAAAGAAAGAAAGAAAGAAAGAAAGAAAGAAAGAAAGAAAGAAAGAAAGAAAGAAAGAAAGAAAAAGAAAGGAAGAAAGAACGAAAGAAAGAAGGAAGGAAAGAAAGAAAAGAGAAAGAAAGAAAGAAAGAAAGAAAGAAAGAAAGAAAGAAAGAAAGAATTAAAGAATTAAAGAATTAAAGAATTAAAGAAAGGAAAGAAAGAAATGGCCACAGGTAGTGTTATGAGGCCGAGCCGGAGGCCCAGGCACGCCTGCCACCCACACACCGCAAGCCTGCTGACACAGGCGTGAGCAGGGCTGGACCTTGTGTCCTGGGCTTGTTCAGCGGCTCATTCTTCTCCTTGCTCCCCGAGACTCCAAACCCCAATGCCGGTGTTTGGGTTCTGGAGCTGGGGGAGTCCCTGGCTGGGAGTGGGGCATGGCAGCTGCTCAGGGCTTCCTTAGCCCTGTCCCCAGCAAGATGTTCCTGGTGGTGACCCGGCTGTACTTCAGTGCAGAGGAGGGGGGCGAACGCTCTGTCTGCCTCACCTTTGCCTTCCTCTTCCTGCTCCTGGTCATGCTGGTGCAGGTGGTCCAGGAGGATACTCTCGAGCTGGGCCTGGAGCCAGGTATGTGCGGCGTTTGGGGCATGGGGTCACCACGCGGATCACTCCCTCGTGGAAGTGGGGTTAAGTGGCTCGTTCCACCAGCACATAATAGGTGAAGGGGGGGGTACTCCTTGGGCCTGGGCAGTCTCTGGCTGCTTGCTACCCTGCACATCTGGGGCTTTGGGGCGAGAGGATATCTGGTCTCACTGCCTCTGATGGCTGCCTGCAGCTGCAGTTCTTCGCAGGGCGCTTCTGTGCCCCCCATCTGCCCTCTCCTCGGCAGCCATAATGATTTAATATTTACCCATTCTAATTTAATTTGGTGAAGGAAATAGGTAAATGGCACAACATTCATAAAGTACAAGAGGCTATACATAGAGTAAAAATCACCCACCCTGATTAGCTCCCCTTCCAAGAGGAAAACTGGGAGACCACTTTCCTTTTTCCCCGTAAAATGGTAGTGTTTATGGCTCTCCACCTTGTCTTTTTCCCTTAAAAACATTAATTTGGAGGTTGTTCCTTGATGCTACATACAGTGTGGGTTTGTTTGTTTGTTTTGTAATACCCACATAGTATTTCATTTTATGGAAGTTCCATGATTATTTAACCAGTCCCCTACTTCTGGACATCTAAGTCTTTCACTATTAAATGTTATTGTTCAAAACCATGTTGTGTTACAACAGTGTCGTATGGGAATAGCCCTGCACATGCAGCCCTGTGCTAGAAAGTGCATTTGTAATTTCGGTAATGTTGTAAATTGCCATTTAGGAAAAGATTAATGAAGTGCCTATTTCCCCACATTCTCTCCAGTGTGTTTCCTTAGACTTTTTTTTTTTGTCTTGGGCAACCTGATGAGTGAAAATATAAGTGAGGTTGAGCATCTTTTCCTCTGTGGACAAGTCATTTCTATCTGCCTTCCAGTAAAGGTCTGTTCTTTTGCCCAGTTTTCTACTGAGTTGTTGACCCTTTTATTGATTTGTAGGAGCTCTTTATATATTAGAGACATTAGGCTTTGTGTGTGATAGTAGTTGGAAATATTTTTCTTAGTTTCCCATTTTTCTTTTGAGTTTCTCTATTCTTTGGATGATCTTTAAAAATATAATTTGGATCACATCACTTCTCTGCCTGATACCAGATTCTAGTGGTCTTTGGATAAAGATCAAATCCTTGAGCTTTATCTTCACCAATTCTCCCTGCTTTTCAATTTTTAAGATTATATAATGTTTAATATATAGTATATATATGTATAGAACATGTGCATGTAAATTACAAAGCAAAATAATAATGTAACAAACTCACTTCTTAAATAAGAACTAGAACATTCCCAATGTTCTTGCATGTCTCTGGTGCTCCTTTCCAATCCCACCACCTTCCACTCCTACTCACAGCCCCAACCAGTCTCTCAAATCTTGTGTTTATCATTCTTTTGCCTTTTTATTTTTTGGAGGGACTTCTTGTTCTTACTGATACTTATTTTTTTAACAAGTCTGCTATATGGTAATGCAGTATTTTATTCTGTTCATTACCAACTAATACTCAAGAACTTTTATAATATTAATATAACTTAATCTAAAAGAATCAACTTACTTTGTTTACATTTCAATATTGGGTACGAGAGAGTCAAAATAATTATGGTCAAAATTATTATATAAAAAATTATATAAATGCTCGGTGTTAGTCTACATACAATTTAGTTTTTGGCATAAAGTTATTTAGTTGCCAGGAAGAACATTTGGTTTACTTCACTAATAGGAATATCTCTTAATGCTGGCATGGCCTCTTCTTGGTATTTCTTCTGCTGTTGATTTTTAGCATAGTTATCTGTGATTGTATGAATGGAGTTGAGTGGAGAGGTACTCATCAGGTTTATTCCAAATAAGAGTACTAACCAATTACTATAGTAATGAGGAAGTAGACGGGCAATGCAACTGCCCAGTATTTTTGAGGCCAATAGGTTAATCCTAAGGAGTTTCGCCAAGATTCAGGAATAAATGCCCACACAAGATACAGGGTGAAGCCAAATTGGGAGCTTAAGAAAAGAACAAAGCCATAAATCGCTCTTTCTGGCAATGGCGACGGTGAATTTTCCACCATTTTACCTGTGGCTTTAGACAATCTTGGGTCCTCCAAGCGCCCACTCAGGCCCCTCCCGACAGCTCGTCCACTTCAGCGCCAAGTGCCCTGCGCAAGCCCCCTCCGGAAAGCCTCCGCGGGGGCGAGAAAGGGAAAAACTAAAGGAAAGGCCGGGTCGCTACGGTGCCCCCGATCCCGCCCAGGCACAGGCACACCGCGACCCTTGCCGGCCTGGAGCGCGCGAGCCCCGGGGACGGCCCCCCCCCCCACTTTTTTTTTTAATTTAAAATTTTTTTTAAAGATTTTATTTATTCATTTGAGAGAGAGAGAGGGAATGAGAGATAGAGAGCACGAGAGGGAAGAGGGTCAGAGGGAAAGGCAGACTCCCTGCCCAGCAGGGAGCCCGATGTGGGACTCGATCCCGGGACTCCAGGATCATGACCTGAGCCGAGGGCAGTCGCTTAACCAACTGAACCACCCAGGCGCCCCCCCCCCCAGCTTTTTTTTAAGTAGACCCCACGCCCAGCGTGGAACCCAACGTAAGGCTTAAACTTCACAACCCTGAGATCAAGACCCAAGCTGAGACCAAGAGTCGGATTCTTAAGCGACTGAGCCACTCGGGCGCCCCATTCCTGTGCCTTTGTAAAAGGTAGTTTCATCACATATGTTTCTGTCCCTAAAGAATTTATCATACAGTTTGCTCGCTGTTGCGGATGGTGCCAGCCAGTGTGTAATCAGCCAACTGGTGCTTTTCGGTCTTTTTGATATTCTTTACAGAACGAGGCCGTGTTGGTCTGGGCAGCTTTTGTTCATCTCTTCTCACAGATGAATGATGTTCTCTGATGAGGCCACTTGTCTTTATTTGTCTATTCTTCTGTTGCTGGACATCTAGGTGGTTTCCAGATTTGAGCTTTTCTCACAGTTGCTACAGGGAACATTCTTGTTCATGTTTCCTCATAGGCATGTGTAGGCATTTCTTTTGGGCACAGAATCTGGGGACAAGGTGGACGTGTTCACCTTCATAAGATGGTGCCTCAGCATTTTTCAGAGCCATGCAGCCTGGGGTTCCGAGTGTGGACCCTGGACTCAGGCCGCCCACCGAGTCCCAGGCACCCTGGGCAAGCGTGGGTGACCTTGCAACAGCCCCCTGCCTCACCTCCCTGCTTGTAAGGTGGGGTGGTGAACCTTACAGGGGCACAGTCAGGTGTAAGTGAGTTGAGGTCTACAGAAAGTGCTTGATTTTTGCCCGTCTAGCAGTGGAAAATGATGCCTTTAGTGGTCTTAACGTGCATTGCTCTGATTACTTGGGAGGCTGAGCAGGTTTTCCTGTTTATTCATGATTCTCATTTCCTCTTCTTTGAAGAGTTTGTTCAAGTTGTTGCTCAGTTTTCTTTGAGGCTGTATGTGTTTTTTTCCTCCATTTTTTTTGTTGTTGTTGTTGTGGTAAAATACACATAACATTTACCATTTTATTGTTTTTAAGTGTTCACTTCAGTGGCATTAAGCACATTCACCTTGTTGTGTGACCATCACCACCATCCATCCTCCCCTTTTCACCTTGCAAATCTGAAACTCTGTCCCCATTAAACACTGCTCTCCATTTCCCCCCACCCCCCCAGCCCCTGGCGCCCACCATCCTACTTTCTGTCTCTATGAATCTGACCACCCTAGACGCTTTATATGAGGGCAATCATGCAGTATCTGTCTTTCAGTGCTGGCTTATCTCATTCAGCATAACGTCCTTAAGGTTCATCCATGTTGTAGCCTATGTTCAAATTTCCTTTCTTTTTAAGGCTGAATAATATTCCCTTTGCATTAATATATCCCATTTTGCTCATCCATTCATGTATCGATGGACATTTATGTTGCTCCTTTGTTTCAGCTACTGCGAATAGTGTTGCTATGAACATGGGTGTACAAGTCCCTGCTTTAATTCTTTGGGTACAGATCCAGAGGTGGAATTGCTGGATTACGTAGTAATTCTATGTTTAATTTTTTGAGGAGTCAACAAACTGTTTTCTTGGGTGGCTGCACCATTTTACATTCATACCACAAGGGTTCCAGCTTCCCCACACCCTCACCAACATGTGTTATCTCCCTTTTCTTTTTCCTTAAGAGTGACCATCCTAGTGGGTGTGAGGTAGTATCTCATTGTGGTTTTTATCTGTATTTCCCTAATGATGAGTGATGCTGAGCACATCTTCATATGCTTGTTGGTCATCTGTATATCTTCTTTGGAGAAATTGTCTATTTTCTTTTTCTTTTACAAAGATTTTATTTTATTTTTTTTAAAGATTTTATTTATTTGACAGAGAGAGACACAGCGAGAGAGGGAACACAAGCAGGGGGAATGGGAGAGGGAGAAGCAGGCTCCCTGCTGAGCAGGGAGCCCAATGCGGGGCTCCATCCCAGGACTCTGGGATCATGACCTGAGCCGAAGGCAGATGCCTAACAACTAAGCCACCCAGGTGCCCCCAAAGATTTTATTTTTAAGTAATCTCTACACCCAATGCGGGGCTCAAACTTATGACCCCGAGATCAAGAGTCACATGTCCCACTAACCAAGCCAGCCAGGTGCTTCCTTTGCCTATTTTTGAAACACGTTTTTTTTTTTCTGGTGATGAGTTTTAGGAGTTCTGTGTATATATTCGGGATATTCATCCCTTATCAGATATATGATTTGCAAATGTTTTTTCCCATTCTGTGGGTTACCTTTTTACTCCATTAGTATTATCTTTTGATGTACACATTTTTTTTTAATTCCCATGAGTCCAATTTGTCTCTATTTTCTTTTGTGGCTATACCTTCGGTGCTAGATCTGACATCATCACCAAATCCAATGTTATGAAGCTTTTCTGGGCTGTATATCTTTACTATTTTTTTTTCTTGTTGATTTGTAGGGTTTCTTTATATATTGTGGGAACTGATCCTTTGTTACATGTGTGGCA